CCATTGTATTAATGTTTTTTTAAAACCATTTTTCCTGTATTCAGGGGGCTCAAATCTATATCTGTATTGACAATTAAACCTGAAGAGGTTTCATATTTTACCCCTACTTTTCTCCCATATCTGTTACCACTAAAAGACTACTCTACCATCTCGTTCCACCTGATTGATTATTCGTCAGTATATTCTTTGTCACGTAATTAATAATACAACTATTTATCCGACTTTAATCGCGGAAGATCGTCCGTAGAGAACACCCCTTTACGGGAAGAGACCTTCCGCGTATCACTATAAGTTCCTACCTCGGGTCTTGTATGTTCGATTAAACGTAACATTTTCTCTAACAAAGAAAAAAGGAAAAAGAAAGTAAAAAAGTTGTTGATCGCTAGCAATTTTATCCAATATATTTCTTAATTAGTGAGATATTAAAAGCACCGGGTAGTCCTTCTGGAACCTCCTATGTCACACGTTAGCTTCTCAATCTTTTTTCCTTTCCTATACTAATAAAGATGACTCGAGACATCTCCACCCCCACAAACAACCTGTTGATGCGCACTTTTTAGTAATAACTAGATCTATAACGCGCGCGGTTGCGCGCGTTCACGAACAATTCGCGCTGTAGTGCTAAAGGCCAGTTTTTGGATTAGGAAATCACGGTTAGACCTCGGTTGAAGTTAAGTGAATCGTGGCGCTATTGACTGGATCGTGCATTTTATATACAAGGCAAAAATCTTCGAGCTCAAAGCCCTGAAGAGCTCTCTTCGTATCAAGACTACCCGAGTCGTGTTTTTCAACTCCATTCTAGCCTCATAGTGAGTTTCAAACTGAGGTCGATGAGGCTGAAATGCGCCCTATGGGTCGGGGAAAGACATTGGATTTTTACTCTCAAATAGACCTGGAAATGGTAGTTATTTCCCTTTTATCAGTCAAGAGGTCTGAATGAGAAAGTCCNACATAAATAAGAAATGCCGTTAAATCATTGATTTTGTTTCTATGAGTTCGTGTTTTTCAATAATTGAATAATCATTCATTACTCGAGATGAAAATCAAAGAGTTATTGTTTTCTATCCATATCGCCAGCTTAGTAACAGAGTCATGTAAAAAACCATCATTTCCAGAAGTAAAGTGACATATTTCCAAAAAATGCGCTATTTATGCTCAGTATTGGAAAAATCATCGAAATAATCATTTTCAATTTTTTTTGATCAGAGTAACGTATCTTCAATCATTTTCGTTCAAACAACCGTAAGTCCCACTCACGTTCTTTTGTTCCAAATAGATGTTAAACTTTCAAATGATCAAAAAAATGGAAAATGTACGGACTTGTGAGATACGTTATGACCTGTAGGTGTAACAAATAAACGTATCTACCATAAACCGTTCCAAAATTATTTAATTATGAATTAACATATCGACAGCTTAATAACAGTCCCGTAACTACCAAAAATGGCCATTGCCAGAGGTAAATGATGTATCTCCAAAAAATGCGCTATTTGTGCTCGGTATTAAAAATCTCATCGAAATAATTATTTTCAATTTTTTTTGGAACAGCGTAACATATATCTAATCATTGTCAATTAAACAAGCGTAAATTCCACTTACGTTCTTTTGTTCCAAATGAATGTTACACTTTCAAATCATCAGAACAAACAGGAGGCAGCGAGCATATAATATGTCAGTAAGTATATGATGGTGAACATGTCACTGAGTGATGTTCCACTGCTTTCTCACGTATGAAAAAATTCAATAGAAAACCGGTGAATTCGCTAGGAAATTTTATTAGAATTCTATAGGAATACTATGTGGTTCCTACAGAATTTCTATTGGAATTCTACTGAACAATTCTATTTGTTTTTTGCGCAGATTCTATTGGATATTCAATAATAAAAGTCAATAGATTTCGAATTTCTGTTTGAATGTTTCTCTTGAGATTTTTTCTATAAGAATGCTTGGGCATCAATTTTCTAAGTTTTTTCCACTCGGATTCTGCAATGCAAAACGAAATAAAATCCAGTGGAAAAAACTTACAAAATTTGTGCCCAATAATTCTGAGGGAAAAAATCTAACAGAAAAATTTGAATAGAAATTTGAAATCTATTGACTTTTTGTTATTGAATATCCAATAGAATCAGCGCAAAAAACAAATAGAATTTTTCAATAGAATTCCAATAGAAATTCTAT